TACTCAAGTTTAGCTCGAATATCATAATTTATTCTTTTTAAATTTAACTAAAATTTTATTTACTCAATTTTAACATCTCCACACAATATTTATCTCAGTGTAAGCCATGCCTTTCAGCTCTATTCGCAGCTAATGCTTCTTCTCTCTATGGGACATGTCAATCGATGTTAATTTATTGTCAATGCGCATTTACCAAATGTGTGGCATGTGTGACACAAATACCAACTAACCACGTTGAATGTGTACATGTGAGTGTGGCTGCACGTACATAACAGTTAGCTTGCGTATGTGTGTGTGTGTGTGTATGAGTATAATAGTGCGTTATGCAAACTGTAGCTGCTGCCTTTTGCTAAAGCACGTGCGCCATATACTCGTTATTAATCAACAAAGAGATGCATATGCCCCATGCAACAGCAGCAGCCGGAGCAGCGGGAGCACGAGCAGCAAAAATGACTGTGTGCAACGTGCTGCTGCTCCTGCTATGGTTATAAATGCAATGGAATGCGGCTTATTACGACAACAACAGCTGCAACAGCAACAACAACAGCAACTCAACATTTGCTGCAGCTGGACCAATGCCTGCCGCATTGTGTGGCAGGTTGGCTTTGAGCTATGCAGATATTTGCATATTTACCAAGCAGCAACAAAATCTCATTATCTTGTTGACACGCCTCAAAAAAAGGGCCGACGATTGTGCTCCAGCCCAGCCCAGCCCAGCCCCCAGCCCCCGCCCAGATGTGTAACATGTGTTAAATGTGGCTGCAACAGCAGTGGCAGCAGCAAGTGGCAGCAACCGCAGGCAAACATAAATCATTCGCCATGTGCGCTGATTAACTTGGCCTTCCACCACTGATTAATCTAAAACAACTATGTGAAATGTGACACATTAGGCGGCCGAAAATTTATCATAATTTATAAACAGACGCAACGGCACCAGACAGCAACAGCCAAAGGACTAGCCGAAAGCCTTTCACTGTTAGCCATTAATAATACAGTCGAAACACAAATGACACTGGCTGCAAGCACGCAAGGACACTTGGCTGAACAGAAACTCAAGGTCTATGCGACGACTCTCTGCGAGTCGTAAAAGGATTTTAATGTCCTCAGAGCAACAGCAAGGTAATATGTAGTTAAGAACATTGAGACTGACTGTCTCATTTTATTTGCCATTCATGTATTTTCTTTAATTTATATTTAATTCTCTTGCTTCTCCACATTCTTTTCATTTATTTGATATATCATTTGTGGTTTGACAGCAGTTTGTTCTCATTATTGCATTTACAAAAGAAGATTAAAATTTGTGAGCATGGTAAGCATTCAAGCATTTGTAATTGTATGAAAATCGCATTAGAAGGGAACGTGTGGGAGAGATAGAAAGAAGGAGACAGTTAGGCAGAGGAAGCTAGAGAGGAAACTCAACAGCAGCTGGGGAGGGAAATCGTATTTAATTTGTATTTTTTCATTTTTTATTCATTAGAAAGCACCAGAGCATCTTTTTGCTCTATTATCTCCCTGAGATTGATTGATACAAAATCATCAGCTTGGAAATAAACCGAATTGACCGTTTGATTCTTTACGCTCAAAATTATACGAACATGCTCTGTAACGATACGATTGACATTCGTATAATGAGAACTAGTAAGTGAGCGAATAGCTCACACTCACACATACGCAATTGATTAGCATAGAGAAGTCTCCTACCAATACATACACAAAAGACATTTTGTTTCATTTCATTCAATCAAGAGTTCGGGGAACAAACAGAAATCGAAACAAAGCCGATCGCGAACGAAGTCGTTAAAGAAACGATGCCATCGGTTGCTCTCTGAGTCTTTACTCAGTGAGTGACTAAACGGCATTTATTTGCATTAAATTCAAACTCTTAAGCCCTTTAAAACAGTTCAGCTCTGCCAATGGCTTTTGCCTCTCAGGCTCAACTCATAAAGAGTTCAGCTCCACAGCTTTGACTTGCTGTCTAGCTGCTAGATCATATAAGATTAATCACTCAGTGCTCCCACGGGCATCTTTCAGCTCGTCTCATTTGTGACGAAATGGCAGAAGGCAGCGTAGCTTGACAGTTGAGACGTTTCGTGCGCGGGTATTCTTGATATTTTTCCAGCATAATTTTAGCGAGAAGTTTTGAAATATAGAAAAGCCGCAGAGAGTTGTACGCTGCAGTTGCTTTAAGGCGAACAGCTAGCTACTCGCTTGCACGGGGCAACGGAGCGTATAATAAATTGCATTTGCCTGACTCCAGTAGGCGGAAGGGAGAGAGAGTGAGGGGGCAGCCAGGCAGCTCATATACACATGAGAGGCAACGTTGGCGTTTGTCAGTTGCATAAAAATGCCAACTCATACGAAGCAGGACATGCCAACTCAGCCAGGACATGCAGCGCCGCAACGGAAATGGCGCAGAAAGAAAGCGTCAGAGCCTGAGGCAGGCAAGGGGAAATTAGAAAATGCCACAGTGCGAAAATGAACAGTGGGAGGGCGCAGAGAGCGAGAGCGACAGAGAGCGAGTGTGACAGACAGTTAGGTTGACTGGCTACAGCTTCAGCTTTGGCCGGGCTCAACACCGACAACAGCAGCAGCAACAACAACAAAAGCAACTCGATTTTTTGGCAACAGTTTTGCCAGTTTTATTCCCTTTTGTTTTTTTTTGTCTTTTTTTTTTTTTTTTTTGGCCCAATCTCAGCGCCGAAACAAATAGCCAAATATGCCACACATTCAACTCCTTTTTTCGGGGCTTTTGCTTATGCAAATTCATGCGAAGGCGACGTTTCGGACTGTGGGCAAAGGACATCTCGTGTTGATTTAGTAACAGCAGCAGTCAACGTGCTTCGCATTCGCCAAAGGAATTGAATTACGCGCCTCGCTTTAATTTCATTTTGCCTATTTTTATGCGGATTTTTCGTTCTTTTCGTTTGCAACTTTTATTTGTGTGTTTCCTTTGAGTTTTTACTGAGCTGAAGCGCAGCAAAAAACAGAAAAAAATAAAGTATATATATAAATGGCAAAGTATATAATAAAGAGCAAAAAGTGACGTCAGCGACATTGGCAAAATGTTTAATTAAATCTGAGCGGGGCAATAGAAAGGAAATCGGAAACCGAATAAAGAATTTAATTAAACTTTATTTTTTTTTCCGTCATTTTTGTTTTTTCCACAGAGGGAAATGAGGGATGCAGTGCACAGAAATGCGGAATGACAGCGCAACGTATTTTAATTAGTTTTTTCTTGCTTTTTGAAGTGTAAATGTATGTGTGTGAGTGAGTGTGTGCGTGTGTGTGTGTGTGTGTCAAAAACAAATCAAAAAGCGTGCGTCAACAATTGATGTTGGGTCTGTGTGCGTGCATGAGCAACGGCTGTCAAAAAACTTTCAAACAAAATGTCGCTCATATGTCAAGCACACGCACAAGCACACCACACACACACACCCATGCCACTAAATACACATCACATCCCATACACACACGCTCACATTTACCACATAAGTAGCAGGCTGTACAACGACAACAACAACAACTACAGCCACATAATCTGGCATGTTTACTGCATTAACATTGGAGGCGCATAAACAAATGAGTTTTCAAAAGTTAACTTTGATCATATAAGCTGGGCTTTGCTTCAGCCCAAAACGTGCAAAATTTTCACCTGTGCACATCACGATTTTCCTACGCACGAAAAGTTTATGATGTGTGCGTAAAGGCCATAAATGCCAGCCTCCACACAGCAAGAAGTTTCTGTCTCTGCTTTTCCATTTGAAGGGCCTAAATTTCGGCTTGCTGTCAGAGCTAATAAATTTATGGCTAACATAAGCATTCATCAGCTTCAAATCGAAGCACATACATATATATTTAAAGTTTATGTTGTTGCTGCCAAATGTATTGATAGATGGATAAAAGCGTTCAATAATTTCCTTAGCTACATATAAAACTGAGAAGTAAGAACTGGAAGATCAGAAAATTCAAATTGGCATTGAATGTAAAATGCATAGTTAGGGTGGAAAAGCATATAACTTGTATTAGGATATATGCATATAGTACATATTTGTATATATATCTTTAATATTTGCAGCGGAGTCTACTTAATAATTTAGTCTATTTACTATTTACTAAGACCTTTTATTTGCTTTCATTTTCGGCCTATCTATACATATCTTAACTTCTCTTCACACTCAAGTTAAATGTAAACTTGATAAAATTGAACCTTAAATATGGCTCACACCAAGAGCAACAGCACGAGGCATATCTAAAATTTCTCTAAGTCCCTGCCGTCACTTGAAGGTCAATTCGCTAGAGGCGTGTTCATAATGCCGGATATATAGAGCACTCAAAATGTCAATCATTCATAGCAGCTGCCCACATTTTCCAGCAACTTCTAATGTGCAGCATGTCAAAGAGGCAACAAGGTTAAATCTAATCTGCTGGGACTGCTTGCCGTTGCTTAAATTTCTATGCTAATATTTAATACATTTTGCATTATTATTTAAATTTATATGTTTAGAGAGAAAATATGACTGTTTTTTAGGGCTGTGAAATTTACATATTTTACATTGTTTATGCGCACATCACAGTTTTTTGGCTGCTGTTAAATGTAACGCATAAAAAAGGCGTTCACCGCCACGCCCATAGAATTACGCTATAAAATTGTAGCCAAACAGGCAGCTGTATCTATGTGTGTGTGTGTGTGTGTGTACTAAAACTGACCGCAAACTTGCATAACAATAAGTTTTTCATTGCCTGTGTTCAAATGGCATTTTAATATGCGCTCAACTTCATGAAATATGCAAATGCAATATGAACAGGAAAACAAAATGAAAATGAAAATGAAAATACATTTAATAATAATAGAGGAAACGGAAATGAAGTGCGGCGACTTCCAATGACTTTTAATGCTGCCTCAGCACAAAATCTGTTGACCCTGGTCAAGACTTTTGCAATTTAATTAATTTCTCTGCATTCAGCATGAGGATTTGCATTTGCTAAATTGAGAAACTTACCCCGCCTCGACCGCCGGAGCCTTCACTGCCATCGTCATCTATATAAATCTCTTCCGTTTGCCGTCCTACGCTGGATGCGGGCGCTGCAATCGAAGCTTTCACAGTTTTCTGTAAATAAAGAAAACACATCAGAAAATTGAAGCAAAAGAAATAAAATATGAAAATGAGAACGAGAAGGAAGAGAAGAAAGAGTAGAACGAGACCAAAAGTGTTCACATCAAACATGACGCAAACTTTTTTAATATTCGCCGAAATTTCAAGTTTTTCTTTGTTTTCTCTTGCTTTATGCAAGCCTGCACTATTCTATATATATATATGCATATATATATACAAATATTTGCAATTCATTAATTAAAGCACGAGCAAGAGAAAACACACATTGAAATTTGTTGAAGTATATTTAATAAAAACTGCATTTTACACATTTTTAAATACATTTTTTTTTTTTTTTTTTGTTGAGACTGTTTGTGGCTCACCCAATTGCCTGACCACAAACAATTGGCATTTATTGAGAACAATGCGAATGCGACAACAATTGTAACTGCAGCGACAACAATTGCTGCTGCAGCGACAACAATTGTTTAACAAATGCATTTTTAATGATGCCACTGTAAAAATCAATATAAAATTTTGGCCAGGATGCGAGGGCACAAAAAAGAACATCAACTACAATTTATATTAAATGTGCTTGACTAGCAGATACTCTGTAGACAATGCTTTAAAATTGTAGAGGAAAAGTAATCAAACTATTTATGAACTTAAGCTGTTGAAAACTGTATTATTATTATAAATTTGATTATAAATTTAATTTTATAAAATTATTATAAATTTGAGCAGTTTTTAAATTTATTAAAAAATATTTTACTTTTAACTCAAACAACTTAAATTGTTACCGAAGCCCAGAGTTATTGATCATCTATGTAGAGGTATATATATTCCACAGTTTATGAACTCAAGCTGTTGAAAACTGTCTAATTATTATTATAAATTGTAGCAGTTTTTAAATTTATTTGAAAATATTTTAGTTTTAACTCAAATAACTTAAATTGTTAATGAAAAATATTTATGCTTGTTTTGTATCGAAGCCGTCTCGAATTATTGATCATCTATATAGAGGTAAATATATTTCACAGTTCACTCGCTAAACACATATTTTATGCTCTCTATAAATCCTCTAGCATAGCTACACTTTTCTAGCTATTTCTAGGGTATTAAATTTGCCCATTAACAGCTGCTGGCTGCATAATTAATGCGCCCACACAGCTGACTCGGCTGTGTGGGACCTGTGCGCGGCCCTCATTAGGGTCACGACTTGAGCAAAGTTTACGAGCTTCAAAAAAAAAAAAGTATAAAAAACGAAGAAGAAAAGTGCATGAAATAAATGACTTTATACGCCATAAACCAATTTTTTATAATCCCCTGTGGGCAAGTTTAAACATTCAACGCGCTGCATTGCAGATTAGCCAAAAGTCAAAAGTTAGTTTAGCAGCCGCAACCACTGGAATAAGCCAGCCAGACCAACCGCACACACACACACACACACACACAGGCACACATTGGCCCCACCTGACATTGTCATTCATTCACGTTTTTGCCCATAGGTGTGAATAACCGCGCGCAAAAGAGAAAAAAAAAACGAGTAGAAATAATAAAAAACCTCAGATAAACACTTCATCTTCAGGGCGGCAGCTACAGAACTTTGTGGTTGCGCCTTCAGTCGAGTTGCGTTTTGCCAAGTTTTGCATTTGACTCGGAAGAGGCCAGGACAGGATGGAACCGGCAGGAACGAGACACGTATCCTTTGCATTATTACGAAGGAGCCTTCTTGCTCGACGGCGGCTCTTCTGAAGTTAGTCCTGGTGTGATGTGTGTGTGTGTGTGTCTGTGCGTGTGAGTGTGTGTGGTTAAAAGTTGAATGCCTGGCAAAATGCATTTACCATGTCTTTGGCCCCATAACGAAGAGCCGTGTGCATTTACTCATTTATTTATTATTGTGTTGCATTTATGCAAGGGACTTTGGAGTTTAGTCCTTCATTACGAACATGCATGATGAAACAACGGATCAACGCAAAAGTTGTGTAAAGTCTTTGACTGAATACCTGCAGGTGAGTTGCCCAAGTATGAGACAAACGCACACACATTCATAATTGAAGAGCAAAGGGAAGCGACAGTTGAGAGAAGTGAAGTGTGAAATGGCATGAAGTGATATAAGAGAATAGGTAACTTTAACTTGAATAAGTCTGAATTCATTTTAGTACAACTAAAAACAGTTGTGAGAAATGAGAGACCAAAACGAAAAGCAATTTGAGAAGCAATGCACAAAGCGGAGTGGAAAAGAACCAGAAAAACTATTAGGAAAACAACGAAAGAGCAAATTGTTAAATTAAGTTTGAGGCGAACAAATTGCGAGAGGTGTCAAAAGAACAGCAAATCGAAAATAGAAGAGACAAGATTAACGAATGCCGCAGCTAAAGATGGCAATAAATGAAAATGGAAAACAGAAAGCTTAAATGGCAAACTTTAGAATATTACTAGAGCAAGAATTTAACATTAAAAATCATCAGCGTAGGATAATCATTTCCAAAAACTCGATCTATTACACGTCAAGTCAACGCACTGCTCTTTTCCCATTTCGCTGACAAATAATAATAATCTCTGTAATAGAGCACAAAAGAGCTGAAGAAAAATGAACAAACAACTTTTAACTTTGTTCTAATTTTCAGCATTGCTGAGCAACAGCAGCAAAAAAAAAAAAAAAAAAAAAAGCAGTTGCTGAGCGAAAAGTTTGTCAAATTTGAAACGTTTATGCAGTGTGGCCCAAACAATCTTTCGGCCAAAAGGGATTCCGCTGGAAGTGTTGCCCAACATATTTCGCATATTTTTCATTTATTTTCTGCTATATGAATTTTCCACTGGCAACAATTTGTCAGCCAGAGGGCGGAGGAGGGGGCGGAGGATGAGAGCGGCTGGCGGCGACTCCTGAAATTGAAATGCAATTGTGCGGGGCAGCCATATAAAGCGATGCAAAATGTTGTTTGGCACTTTTTGACAAATATAAATATGCGAGCAAGATAAAAAAGCGAAAGCACCGTTTTTGCCATTTTAGTAAGGGACTAAAAAGGGAGCAGAAGGCAGAGCCAGCCAGGCGATAAATCAATATAAATATTGACAGTTTTACAGTTACCTCACATGTGCCCGAAGCATGACTGTGCGTGTGTGTGTGTGTGTGTGAATAAATATATAAATATAAACTCTTTGTTTACTTGCCAAGAATAATATTAATTTGCTCGCGAAACATACAAAAAAATTCCACTATTTACGAACAAATATAAATATTTGAATGCATTGCATATTTTTGGCGATATTTCAACAATTTTTTCAATTCAGAAAAATAGTCAAAGCATTTAAGACTTTAAGTTATAACGCATCAGCTTGCAGCAAAGCCGAAAGATACCCATTTTTTCGGCTTTAATGCGCAGAAAATAGGTCAGGCGCAGCCAACTTAATAAGCACATAAGCCATGTTGGCGTTGCCAGATAGCCTTAAGCTGCAATTTAAATTAAATAAATATAATAAACTTTACAGCGGATCATGTTGCATTAAGGCATTACGGCCAGGTAAGAACTAAAAATATATTTCTAGCAGAATTTAAGTCAGCCGGCAAAGCAATTTATATTTGGGATATATAGTGTATATATATTTATAATATTTTGTATATTTATTTTTGACACGCATCAACTTAATTTAGGCTGTTATGCTGTACTTAAATATATTGTATAGCTTTAGAGTCATAAATTGATTCTACAGTTCCCAACCAACTTAACAATACTATAAATCATATGGATTCAACACTTAATAAAAAATAGTAAAAATAAATATATGGCATAGTCATATAACATATATTTATTTTTACCATTTTTTATTAAGTTTTATTATTTCGTAGCCAACTTTAACAATATTAAACATTGCCAGATCGCGAAAAAGTCGTTTTATTTTAATTACTTTATCTTGATTGTAATTGTTAAATGTGTTCATTTAATTATGGCCACAGTTTTAATTAATTAATAGCTCATTCGCTCTGCTTATCCGCTTTGCAGGCATTTCAATTTCACATGAATTGGTTTCTGTCAACCGCAAATAAAAGCAGATTAGATAAATGCCATTAAAATTGCATGCAAAATGTCAAATAAAATAAATTGAATAAAGAGTTGGAAAAACGAACAATAATTTTTATTTCTGTTTTTTTTTTTTTTTTTTTTTTTTTTTTTTTTTTTTTTTGGTATAAATTCAAATAAAATAAACTCTAGCTAATAAAATTTTTTAGCAGCTGCTGTGCATTTTTCGATTGTCAGTTGCATTCGTTAAGCTGCTTGAAATGAGCAACAATGGCAACAGGAGAGGCAACGAGAGTGGGAGAGGGAGACGGAGGTGGGTGGGTACATATCAGCTGTCCGTTGTGCAATTGGATTGAAAGCTAAGAGTGCTATTAAAGCTGTCCCTGGCAGATAGACAGCCAGTCAGGCCGACAGGCAAGCTGGCAGCCAGGCAGGCAGGCAACCGGCTGTCAGTGTGCGGCGCCGCAAAGTAGGCAATGAAATGGAATCGATTGCAAATGCAATTTGCTGCACGTATACGTAGCGTGAGCAGCTCACAGCACACAGTCAAAAATAGACGAAAAAAAAAAAAAAAAAAAAAAACAAAAAAGCCAAAAGCCCATGGCACATCAGCCTCAAGGCTCGCACACAATGTGGCAGGTCAGCAACAGCAGCCCGCAACCAGCAGAGAGCCATGTGGCAGCTACTTGTCTGGGCTGTCTTGTTAGGCTGAAGCGCAGTCAAGCAACTGCCATATGCCAGGGAATATACATAAATAATGTATAAATATGTCGACACTTTGCGAAACTCGTTATACATTTTCATTAGGGCGTATGTCTGACTGCCACGCCCACACACTACTATGCCCTCGCCTGCTTAGCCAAGCGTGCGTCTCGGCCATTAAGGTGTCAGGCCTGTGCGTGCGTGTGCGTAAGTCTGTATGTTAAGGGTAACTGTTTTGGCCTCTGGGCTTCAACAAATAAAAGCAAATCAAAACTTATTATGCTACGCACA